AACCTTTATAAATTTAATATTTCACTCTTACATGGTAAATATCTCAACCTTATATGGCACTAGCTTCTCTCTATCCTATATGGCTATTGAAAATACAAAATTAGATAAAGTGAGAATTTTAGCTCTAATATCTTGCTTACATGTTTTTAGCTCTAAAATATTATTTGATATATGACTCGTGTATAGCATAGCTATAAAGAAGAGGGTAGCAACTATGGTGTAGTACTAAAGGCTTAGAAAGGGGAAAAACTACTTAGATATCAAGCTAGATTAGTCATTAAAAAATTATAAAACACAAATCTTTAAATCTCAAAGTAGAGTCGAAGGTGAATAATGTGGCAGTGGCTAAAGTAAAAGTTTAATAAGCATAATATATTTAGACTAAAAGCTCTAACTTAAAAAGTCGAGAGTGGGAGTGGAACTCTGAAAGAAGTGTTTAAAGAATGGGCACAAAACAATTAATAAGCAAGTTTTTAAAAAGGGACAAAAAAATAACTAATATGTGGTACATGGACGTGTTGAAATAGAGTTTAAGACCAAGTCTAAAACAACTCTAAGATCGAGTTCAAAATTAAGTCTAAAATCAAGTTTAAAACTAAGTCCAAGATTGAATTTAAGACCAAGTTTGAGACCATATTTAAGACCAAGTCCAAAGTTTGATATATTTAAAGATAAACATATTATAGAGTGGGGTGAAAGCCCAAAGCAATTTGCTTCCAAACCTTAAGGGGTTTAGTAAGTCCTTATGGGATAATAGGGGGAAGATTCCAAAGAATTAATATGATTAAAAAATGTTATTTCCATATAGTGGGTGATAATGTAAATACTAAAGAATTTAAGGTTAGAGTGAACATGAATGGAGAAGTTTAATGATTTAGTGAAATGTTCAATAGTTAGCTCTAATTTATCTAGAAGATTAAATGGTCAATGTTCTTAATCCAAATGTGAATAGTATTATTGGATATTTTGCATGGTTTATTAGAACTTTACTTTAGCTACAGTTTGAAAAATTAATGGGATTTAATAGATAAGTTTTTGAGCCCTTTCTCAATAATAAATTTGACAAACATTGTTGTGAATAGAAAGGGACTTAATGGGTATCAAAGAAGGGATACTAAAGATGGTGTTCCCCCATATCTTGAGGCATCATAAAAATGCTAAAGAGTGATTATAAGATAAAACTGTAAATTTGAATTAAATTTAGAAATCTTTAGACTATATTATATTATACATTTACTTTGGAGCTAAGGTGTTGATATGCTAACTATTAACTTTTCTTTCTTGGACTTATATATTTTTCTACCGAAGGAATAACTCTCTTTAAGAAATTTTCACATTTTCCTTTATTTGAAAAGGAGTAACAAGATGAAGTGTGCAAACTTTCTTCTTTGAAATTAAATTTTTTGTCTATTTTTTAAGTTGGCTTAATCCCTTTTTGATGTGTCTTAAGAGCTTATAATAGCTTTTCCCCTTTGAAATTTTCAAAACATAGCATTTTCTTCTATGCTTTATATTGGGATTGAAGAGTATTCATAAATAAATAAAAAATCGATATAAAAAAGAGAAATTAGAAAACTTACAAAGTTTAAATAAATATGTGAAAAATAGACTTATTATTTTAAGAAGAAAATTGGATTTTAAAATAAGATTTAAATAGAATAGAAACATGTTATAGTAAAGAAAGTTTTATTTTCACAAGGCTTCTTTGAGTGAGGAAAAAAATAAGTGTTATGCTTACCTTCTTCCCTAACCTAATATATATCGTGCACCTATTGGGTGACTCAATATTGCAAACAAAATTCAAAATAATGTATAGTGAAAAACTGAGATTACCTTTATTTGATAACATCAATTAGCAAGATCCACAAAGTTCAGCAGTTTCTCCTTATTATTATAAACTAGAAACTACTTAACAAATGCTAATCAATGCTATCTCTAAAATTCTTTGAGCAAAAATAGATTCAACTCATCAGTTTATCAAAGGCAAAAAAACATGCCAAAACATATCTACTCTATAATTAATCTTTGTCTCTCAATACATTTTATTATACTAAGTTATTGTTACGATAATCTCAATAATGTAATATGTTTTACAATCTATATACTCTACTTCTTTGAGGAAGAGTATGTACATGTTAAATTCCATTTTTCTTAATACTTTTGTTGAATAATCTTTAAAAATGGAATGATATAGTTATTTATGCCATAATAAACAAGCTAAGTTGATGAGCATACTAAGATGGAATAATAAGCTTGTCCATGCCATATGTGGTTAGAGTGTGTCTAATAGATCCATCACTATGCATTCAATATACCCTCAGCAAGTAAAACCACCTTCCATACAACTATTAACTCTTGTTAAATTAGTGAATTTGTAAAACACTAAAAGTTGTAATCAAAAATTAAATTAACACTTACAAGTAAACAAACTTTCAAGGCTCAATGTTTGTTATATTCAAAAGGGTTGTAAAGTAGGAGAAAACAATAAACACTTTGAACACTTTAAGCTTTTTTTTTTTTTCACCATCCTTTCTAGAGAGCACTTAACATCAAGAAATTTGATCTTCTTTTTTATCTGATATAAACAAAAAGAGGGAAAATACATTATGAACCTTTACAAATTTAAAGACTTTGATATTGCTTATTTATATGCTTCAAGAAGACCATTGCTAAACCTTAATTATCAAATATTTGAATGAAAACCTAGTTAGAGATAATGGAAAGTAATAATGAAAAGAAGAAAGTTCAATTACTTCTCAAGTGATATAAACTTGTCTAGGCCCAACATTAGTTTAAGCAATCTATATTTTGCTTCACTATAATGACTCTTCTTGACCCATCTTACTTCATTAAATTTATTATATAAAGTTGCCAATTTAGATTTCCTTGTATTTAATTTTTAAATAATGTAACACTTGCTTTCTCTCTTTGTCGATTACAACCCATATAACATATAGAATATGTTGCTCTCAATGTTGCAACTCAATCTTAAGTTTAACACTTTAAAAGAGTTTTACTTTATTTACATATGTTTTCATTATTTTGCATTTGCTCTTTTCCTAGTGTTTGTAGTTCATTTGTTATCTAGTGCTTATGGCAAAAAGCATAAACTTACTAATCAATATTTATGCACTTTATGTTAGCATACATATTACCACGTTATTTATATTTGCTATAATCCTATAATTATGAGCATAATAGTTAAACTCAATTATAAATTAGACTAGCTAGCACCAAAAAAGATTCTTGTTGTGTATGAAAATTTCAATTAGAAAAACATGTCAGAGCCACAGAAAACATTCTTTTGCTATGTAAATATTTTAATAAAATTTTAAATTTATAAACATTGTCATGCCATTATCTTCCCTCTTTAACTAATTATGTTAACCACCCATTATCCACCAAAACTTCCACATGATTTTTTTCAAAAGAAAGTTTTTTTAAGCTATTATGGACTTGTTATTTGAGAATAAATTTTTTTATTTCTAATGTTAGCTTTAGTCAATATTCTATAGTTGATATGCATGTTTACTTTTCCATAAAATAAACTTTATAGTGAAATATTTGTTTATATAAAATAGTGCTTTAAAATTTAAATGAAATCCAAATTTTTTATGAGATACACCAAATCAAATGTTAATTATTATGCTTGACAGCCTCTATCATTATCATAAGCTTAAAATAGTTTTTATAATAATTATAAATTTATATTTCTTCTTTCTCCCTTTGACATTATTTATTTTAATTCCTTATTTTTAATATGTATTTTATCTCATAGCTTCTTACATTAATAATTTTAAAATGTAAATTTTTATTTAAAGGGTTAATATATAAAAGAACAAAGATAAATAAAACTAAATTTAATAAAATAATAACAAAAACTTGATTTAGTATACTAGTATTGATGAAATTATTTTATTTTTATTCTACTTATTCTATAAAAAACTTTATTGCTACTATCATGTCTAATAGATTATAATTACTTGTGTTTTGGAAAGCAGATATGCAATATATTATACAGAAAATTAGTTTTAATTTTCTCTAATTTTTTATATTAATTTAAGTTTTTTTTAAAGAGTTCTTATTTTTTGAAATCAAATTCTGCTTAAGTTATCACATATATGTGATGAGATAAAATTAATTTGGAAAACCATTTGTCTAATTCTTCATATTTAATTTTTGGCATATTTGTTTTGGCTGTAGAATTTACTTTTAAAGTCTACTTGATGATTAGTGTCATTTGAAATTTCTTCAGAAACAATTTAGTACATAAATATGGTTAAAAATCTTAAAGTACCTAATCATTGACCAAAATCAAAATCCAGCATAACGGGACAGGTAAGCACTAAAAGTAACGGTGGCAATTGCACCACCTTTCTCCACTTTATTGCTAGACGAGGCAGCTGCGGCAGGCCGACCCACAAACTCCATGTCCTTGTCAAAATTTTCCCTCATTACAAACCCAAAGGTGGTGGCCCCTAAAAAAACACAACAAAGCTTGAAACATATAAAAGAGAGGCAAGCATTATTTTTTGCTTTTGCTTCCTGGTCCATGCAGCGTACACGTATACCTGTAAAGCGCCGGCGCCCTCCAATCCTCACCGTTGCTGCCGAGCAATCTGACGCCTGCGGCGCTAATCACCCGCTAATGCTAATAAACCCCACCTCGGTTAGCACAAATCCTATTTTTTTTCCCGAAGGATGGCGGTGGCACATAGCAGTCATAGCCCCCCGCGGCTAATTGTGATTAGCCTTTAATCTCACCTTAAGCCACCATGGATTGGACCGCTGGGGGGAAATAATTTCCACCACCCAAGTCGGTTTATACATTTTAACCCTCATTGTTCTTCTTTTTGCCGTTTTTTTTCTCAATCTTTTTTTTTTTCTTACCTTTTGGGCTCTCTCTCTCCCATTGTTTGCCCTTTTTTTTTTCGTGTTAGAGTTGAAAGTCGTGCATCGCACTCTTACTTAGAGAGTTAGGCCATCAACTCAAAGAGAGAGGAGAGAGTTGGGTTGGGTTTCTTCTTTCTTTCTCTTTCTTTCTATTAAGTGGTGTGCCCCCGTGTGCGTGTGCGTGAGTTTAAGCGTCCACCACCACCACCATCCATGGCGTCGAGGGTGGTGCGCTAGTCCCCTCGCTCGTTTCGTTTAGCAAAAGGTGGCAAGCAAAGATTTGGAGGCTTTTGGGGCGCCGCTCTCGCCGATTCCAGCGATTGGGGAACTGGGCTGTGCTCGCCGCCGCGCCTCGCAAGGTTTAGCGCCGACCCATTTGCTCGGCCGCCTCCATTGGATCCCAGGGAATGCTCCAAAACGCTACACGGGTAAGTCTCTCTTCTTTCTTGCTGCCTGCGCTTGGGCTTTCTTTCTCAGCGTCTATGTGGGGGAGAGGTTTTTTTTTTTCTTCGTGTTCTTGGTTGGAGGAGAAAGAGGAATAGAGGTGCTTGTGTTTGACTAGGAGAGCGAGAAGAAGAGGGGGATTTTTTTTGCGCGGTCCATCTTGTGGAGCTGGAGCTGCAAGGAAGAAGACGAAGAGGAGGCGGCGGTGGTTCTTGTAAGTTGACTTTTTCCGGAGCTCCGTGGGGGCCGGATTGATTGATTGATTGACGGGGGTGGCTGGTTGGCTGGCTGGTTTTTATCGGTGCCACCTTTCTCGATGATTCGCTTCATCCCGGTGTGTGCGTGTTTGCAGCTAGAGCGCTAGAACACATCCAGGGGGGAGCTTTGGATTTGGAGCAAAGGGGAAGAACAGTGGTAGGACAGTAGCTCGCGGACAAACTAGCCGCGGGGAAGGGATCCAGGAAAGCTTGGAGCTTACGGCGTGAACAGGAAGGAAGGGTGCGTAGAAATCGAGCTTTTGCTTTGGTGGAGGGCCGGGAAGGAGAAAAGCTGTGCTGCTACAAGTCGATTCGAGGGTGGGACTAGCTTTACTGTCGTTTTGGTGGAGACTTTGAAAGAGCTTTAGCTGGAGGCCATGGTCAGCATTCGAAAACGAAAGCACCTGAGTGGTAAGTGTTTCTATTGCTTCAAAGCTCATATCTTACTTGTTTCCTGTGTGTGTTCTATCAGAGAAATGTAGGCTGCAGCAAGCTTCCAACAAGTGTAGTGAAAATGTGGAGCCTCTGGCGCTGGCCATGTATCGGCCGGATGGAACAGACGTAAGTTTCCATCACTTTCTTCTCTTCGTTTCCAGTTCGATGTTCTAAGAGACTATGCGTTCGTAGTTGCAGGAGTACATAGGCAAGCCACCACCTCTCGCTTTCAAAACCCCCTTCAAAGGTATCTCTCGCTACTGCTCTTGTAGTTTGCTCGGCTTGAGATATCCTTGGTTTTTGGCAGACAAGGAGCTCAAGAAGCGAAAGCTACACCGGAGGAAGCAAGTGAATAACCAGGAGCCGTGCATGCTGCGGGGAGTTTATTTCAAGAACTTGAAGTGGCAGGCTGCCATCAAAGTTGGGAAGAAACAAGTCCATCTGGGAACCGTCAACACCCAAGAAGAGGCTGCTCATCTCTACGACAGGTAAAGAGTTTTTCATAGCTCTTCGTTTCGTTTCGTCGTTTCTTATCTTTGTCTGGCATTAGAGCTGCTTATATGTGTGGAAGGGAGCCAAACTTCCAACTCACAGACGAAGAGAAACAAGAGCTACAATCGTTCGAGTGGGAGGAGTTTTTGGCACTCACTCGCAAGGCAATTGCTCACAAGAGTAAGCCTTTCTCCCTTCTTCGCTTGGTGTTACGCATGAAAGAGCAGAGTTTCTAACGTTGTTTTTGTTTCGCAGAGATGCAAAATAAGCTCGAGGCTCAAATGCGTAGAAGGCAAGCCGCCATGGCCGTCAAGACGGAGCAAAGTTGAATGGATGAAAGAGAGAGCACACGTCCATTCTTTGATTCGTTTTCCTTGCCTTGGGTTTGTATACTAGATCCACAGCTAGAGAAGAAGGAAAAGCTGGAGAGAGGAAGGGAGATGGATGGTTTTTGTTGTAGAGCGATAGATGATCCTAGCATTGTGTACTAAAAGGAACTCAAGAGGTTGGATCCACAAAAAATCTAGTCTTTCTTTTCTATGGGTTGATTTCTCTATGGAATGGCATCACGCTGGAGCTCTTCTCGCCAGGATGGAGGAACCATCTTCATCTTCCGGCCGGAAAAGAATCCGGGAAGCCTCGACAAAAGAGGGAGTGGCGTTGAGCATTCCAGCTCTCCTCTCGGCGCTCAAGGTATGTGCTCGCTCCAGAGATTTAGAGGGCGGGAGGAGAATTCATGGCGAGGTTTCCAGAGACGCTGCGGCATCGTCGGACACTTACGTTGCAAACTCGCTCGTTTCCATGTATGCCAAGTGTGGGAGCATGGTTGATGCTCGAAAGATCTTCGAAACCAATCCTCGCAAGAGCGTCGTCTCGTGGAACGCTCTCATACTTGGGTACGCCGAGAATGGCGATGCCAAGCAAGCTCTCGATCTCTTCTCGCAAATGGAAAGCTCGAGCTTGGAGAGATCCTGTCGCCCAAACCGAGTGACATATCTCGCAGCTCTCAAGGCCTGTGCCAACCTCGCGTCGATAGAGCGAGGAAAATCCACCGAGTGTTTGGAGATTGGACGAAGAATCCACTCCCAGCTCGTCGAATCCGGACTGGAGCTCCATACTTTCGTGGCAAGCACGCTCATCGACACGTATGGGAAGTGTGGGAGCATGGTTGACGCGAGGAGCGTCTTCGATCGAATGAAAACGCAGGATGTTGTGTCGTGGAGCTCCATGATTCTGGGATATGCCGAGAGCGGCCGTGGAGACACTTCTCTGGAGCTCCTGGAGAGAATGCGAGATGATGGAGTTCGCCCAAACGCGGTGACTTACCTTGCAGCTCTCAAGGCCTGCGCCAACTTTCCAGGAGATCTTTCGAAAGCTCGAGACGTTCACTCGGGGATTCTAAGGTCCGGCAGCGAGTCCAACGGATTCGTGGCGAACGCTCTGGTCGATCTCTATGGAAAAGTCGGCAGCATGACCCAAGCTCAGCTTGTTTTCGATGGAATCGCGATCGCCCACGACGACGCCGCATCGTGGAACGCGCTGATCCTCGGCTATGCCGAGGGTGGCGACGAACAACAGGCCTTGGAGACGTTTGAGTCGATTGAAAGGCTCGAGAGAAGCAACGCTGTGACTTACCTCGCAGCGCTCAAGGCCTGTGTAAACTTGGCAGGAAAGAGCCCGAGTTCCAGTCCGAGCTCTTCGAGTCCGAGTTCCACCAGTCCGAGCTCCAAATCTATGAAACTTTCATGCCTGAGAAGGGGACGAGCTATCCATTCACGACTGAAGAACATTGGACAAGACCACCATCTCTTTCTCTCGAGCACTCTCATCGATCTCTATGGAAAGTGTGGGAGCGTGGAGGAAGCCAAGACCGTGTTTGATTCCATGGATCTTCGCGACGTTTTCGCGTGGACAGCCATGATCTCCGCCTACGTCGAGGGTGGCGAGAACGAGCAAGCTCTCGCCCTCTTCGCTCGAATGGAGCTCGCGCAAATCCCAGCCCCTCCAAGCCCAGTGACTTATCTCACAGCGCTCAAGGCCTGCGCGAACCTGGGAGCTCTGGCGGCGGGGAGATCGATCCACGCTAAGATCTGCCGGCGAGGATTCGAGGGCGAGCTGCTGGTGACCACCGCCCTGATCGATTTCTACGGGAGATCCGGGAGCTCGCGCGACGCGGAGGCGGTGTTTGATGCCGCGGCTGCCGCTAGAGACCTCGCGATGTGGAACGCTCTCGTGGGAGCTCACAGCCACCAAGGCAAGATCGATCGCGTGCTGGATTCCCTCCAGGGGATGGAAGCCGAGCAGGGCCTCCGACCAAACGGAGTGACCTTCGTCTCGATTCTCGCGGCGTGCGGCCACGCCGGGCTCGTCGACCAAGGGCGACAGTTCTTCCGCGAAATGCGGGATGTGTACGGCATTGTCCCCTCCGAGGAGCACATTAGCTGCGTCGTGGATCTCCTTTGTCGGGCGAATCGATTGGACGAGGCGCTGGAGATGTTGGAATGCCAGCGGCCGAGGCCGGGATTTGTGACACTCATGGGCGCGCTGGGCGGATGCCGCAAGTGGGGAAATGCCCGCGTCGCGAGGGCGGTGTTTGATCTCATTCTGGGGCTTGAAATCCCGGAGGAAGACCGAGCTGCGGCAACTTTGCTCATGGCTAGCGTTTGTGGAGAAGCCTAGATATCCATTACAGCTTCTCGTTTTCAAAGACATCTGGTAAAACATTAGAGTTTTAGGCAAATGCCTCAACTCGGCATTTGTTAAAGAACTTTAGGTGGCAACTTTGTGTTGAATCTCGCAGTGCTGCTACCTCCATACCTTATCCCGATTCCAATCCAATCCTCGAGAAATATATCATCTTCCGGGAGAAGCTGCCCATCCAGAGATGAGACAATCAAAGCTTGAAGGTTTTTGTCTCAACTATGAATGCCGCGAAAACTTCAAGCCATATGAGATAGGTTAGCGGTCCAAGCTCGACAACTATAAATCAGATGATCGCAATTGTCCTCCCTCAACTTTCCAATGCTATCACCAAAATCTTGTCACGTTCTTCCACTCTTGCTAGTTCTCATGACAGCGGCAGCAGAAGCAAAGACCGTGAAGATCTTTAATCGCTCTGAGTCTGATCTATCGCTCCACTGCCAATCCAAGCAGGACGATTTGGGGGCACAGACGCTCAAGCCCAAGGATTCATTCGGCTGGCCATTCGATGATCGATGGGTTGGAAACACGCTCTTTTGGTGTGACTTCTCCTTGGATGGTAAGTCATTCCAGTTCCATGCTTACGACCAAAAAAAGAGCTCCAATTACGAGCAGATCGAGTGGTATCTTTTGGACTTTGCTTTGTTTGGTACTGGTTGGGACACCAGGAAATGGTATGTTCCAGTTGTGGAGTTTGAGTGGTAAAAACTAATGTCATGTAATAGTTCTATTATAAAAGATTAAGAACAATGAGCTGGCTGTGGAAGAGAAATCTCGTATAATCGGGTTAAGTTCTTTGATGGGTTACTCGTCGATAAAAACTCGTGAATCGAGCTTGCGGAGCTTGGAGTTTCTGTGTAATATGTGAGCGGCTCCACCAGTGGCGCCAATCCACTGTGGTCTCTCCAAGCCCAGCGAGAGAGCGCTCATGAATGGGCAACATTTTGGAGGAAAAGCTCGACATCCTTGTAAAGAAGTTTTGAAGTTCTTGCCGCTTGTGTCCCCTTACTTACGCGGAAAAGCTCGACAACGAAGTTTTTGCCTCGAGTAAATCCACTTTCTTCTCACGTAAAGCTCTTAGTTTGTCTCGATTGATGGATTATGATTGAGATGTAAACAACGTAGGAAACAATGTGAGGAAGCGATCCAGGCTTTGTCCCAGGTAAGCAACGTAGGACACAATGTGAGGAAGCAATCCACCGCCCAGGACATGTCCGCCGTCTTCTTCTATTTCACGCCTGTCGCCCAAACCGAGTGACTTCTCTCGCAGCTCCAACCTCGTGTCAAGGAAAATTGCTGTTTCTCATCGGCGCCACGGGATTTATGACGCTCATGAGCGCGCTGAGCGGATGCCGCAAGCGGTAAAATGCAGGGCGGTGTTCGGTCTCATTCTGGGGCTTGAAATCTCGGTGAGCTACCGATGGACTTTCTTCTCTCGCTTGTGCTTGATCATCCACCTCTGTCACACCATTGTCCTCAAGCCCCGGGTCGCCAGTCGGGAACCAAAGCCACGATTGCCGCATCAATCATTTCAGCGATGGTTGTAACATCCTGGTCTGAGAGGCCGAGCTCGGCAACCATTTCAAGCTGCGGCAACTTTTCTCATGGCTAGCTTAGCTGGAGAACCCAGTTCGTAAAGAGCATTAGGGTTCTGGTTGGTTTTACAGGTGGCAACCGTTCTGGATCTCACGAAGGAAAAGGAGAGGATGAATCGACCTCGCGCTTGGAGGACATGTACGAGAAGAGAGGCGTCTCTCGAGAGGAGGTGTGGAAGCAACTGGACGCGCTGCTCGAGCAATGGAAAGACGACATTGTCCAGTTTCACTTCAACGTAAGTTTCACTCAGCGAGATCGAGTGGGCTTTAGTCTTTTCTTCCAGGGGCTTACAACGCTCTTTAGCCTGGGCGAGCTCAAGTTTGATCTACACAAGCCCCGCTTCCGGAAGATCTACCGAGGAACACAATGCAACTTCTACAACTTGGTGATCGAGGATGGGTTCCTGGTGCATGCCTCGATTCACGTAGCCGAGGGTCACTACTATGGACCGGAGAAGATCGCCGAGGCCTTCCGTGCGAGCTTGGCTACCCAGAAAACGGCAGTGCTGCTTCCTCCATACCTTGATCCAGATTCCAATCCAATCCTCGAGGACGATATCATCTTCCAGGAGAAGCTGTCCATCCAGAGATGAGACGATCAAAGCTTGAAGGTTCTTGTGTCTATGGAAAAAAGAACTTTAAACCATATGAGATAGTTTTGCGGTCCAAGGTTTGATTTTTGGACTAGTATAAATCAGATGATCATGATTGTCCTCCCTGAACCTTCCAATGCTATCACCGAAATCTTTTCGCGTTCTTCCGCTCTTGCTTGTTCTCATAGCAGCAGCAGCAGGAGAAAACACCGTCACGATCTTTAATCGCTCTAAGTTTGATCTATTTCTCCACTGCCGATCCGCGCAAAACGATTTGGGGGCACAGAAGATCAAGCCCAAGGCTTCATTCGGCTGGCCATTCGGCGATCGAGTGTTCGGAAACACGCTCTTTTGGTGCGACGTCTCCTTGAATGGCAAGTCAAGCTCGTTCAATGCTTACGACCAAAAAAAGAACCATGATTATGATCCCCTCGAGTGGTATGTCTTAGACTTTGCTTTGTTTAGCACTGGTTGGGACTTTACCAAGGAATATTGGTATGTTCCAATTGTGGAATTTGAATGGTAAATCGCAGCCTTAAAACACATGTAATTAGCTACTATAATAGAAAGATCTTGAGCTTTCAAGTGTCCTTCTTCCATGCGGACACGAGGCAGCACAAATCACTGTGGACAAAAACAGAGAGAAGTTTGGTATTTCGATTTGCAATGGATTCCTCTTCCCAGCGATGGAGCTTGAGCGGCAAGAGCGCCCTCGTCACGGGAGGGACTCGTGGAATCGGGTAAGTTCTTTGATGGGGCTGATTGTCTCAACTCCATCCGAAAAGAAATGGAAAGTCTGGATCACACCCGTGATACAGGCGATCGGTTGTGGAGGAGCTTGCCGGGCTTGGAGCTTCCGTGTATACATGCTCGCGCTCCGAGAAGAACTTGAACGAGCGGCTCCAGGAGTGGCGTCAATCCAACCTCGACGTCCATGGCTCCACCTGTGATCTTTCCAAGCCCAGCGGGAGAGAAGAACTCGTGAAGCTTGTGGCCCAACACTTCGGCGGAAAGCTTGACATCCTTGTAAGAGTTTTTGCTGCGAAGAAATCCACTTTCTTCTCATGTAGAGCTCTTAATTTGTCTAATGTTTGATTGATCTTTATCTTGGTATTTCTCCAGGTAAACAACGTAGGGACCAATGTGCGGAAGCAATCCACGCTCGACTACACCACCGAGGACATATCTACAGTTTTCTCCACAAACTTTGAGTCGGCCTTTCACATATCGCAATTGGCTCATCCTTTGCTCAAAGCCGCTGGAAACTCCAGCCTGGTTTTCATCTCCTCGGTGGCCGGAGTGGTGGCCATCGCCACGGGGGCACTCTACGCAGCCACCAAAGGTACGCGCAAAAGATTCCATTCAAAAGCTTTTACGTGATCGAGATCACAGGTGCCATGAATCAACTCACGAAGAACTTGGCGTGCGAGTGGGCTCAAGATGGGATCCGTGTCAATGCAGTGGCGCCGTGGTACATCAAAACGGACCTGGTTGAAGAGGTGATAAAAAAGATCTAGTGCTTTTTGTAAGTTCTTATTGTTTGGTTGTTTAGATTTTGGCAAAGCCCGGCTATGAAGCTGCTGTTTTGGATCGAACGCCCGCAAGACGAGTTGGAGAGCCTCGTGAAGTGGCTGCTGTTGCTGCGTTCCTGGCATTGCCGGCTTCGTCCTATGTTACTGGACAAGTGATTTGTGTTGATGGGGGATTTACTGTCTATGGTTTCTCTCTTCCTCATTAAATTCCCTTTCAGATAATGAAGATTTTGTTAATGGTTTCATGGTGTAGTTGGTTATCACGTCAGTCTAACACACTGAAGGCTTCCAGTTCAAAGCCACATGTGAGACCACTCTTTTCCCTTTCATTTTTACTTGTGATGCCCAAGGAAGGCATTTGTTGATGGTATAGTGTGGTTATCACTGTCTTGTCTTTGATATTGACAGCCTCAAAGTATGAAGCTATAAGTTAACGCTTTGTTTTTACTTGTGAATTAGGAACAATAGCAAATGCCAAGGAAAGGCAAGGCATGTTTTGATGGATGAAACCACATGTTAAAGGGTTTTTTTTCCTTTTATTTTTACTTGTGATTTAGAACAACAGGAAAGGCATTTGCTGATGGTTTCATGGTGTAGTGACACAGTGAAGGTCTCCAGATGAAGCTTGATTTTACTTGTGGATTATGACAACTGCAAATGCCCATAAAAGTTATTTGTTGATGGTTCAATGTTTCATGGAAGACCTCCAGTTCAAACCTGGATGAAGCCAATTGCCAGAAGCACTTTCTTTACTTTCATTTTACTTGTGGGTTGGGTTAAATACAGATGCCCAAAACAGGTATCTGGTGAAGTTGGTCATTACGACACATTGAAGGTCTGTAACCTGGACGAAGCCATGTAATATCTTTCGTTTTGCTTGTACAAGTAAATACCCAAGAAAAACATTTGGTGATGGTTTTATGGTGTAGTTGGTCAGTTGAAGGTCTCTAGCATGAAGCCAATTTAAAAGGCTTTTCTTTTCTTTTATTTTACTTGTGCGTTAGGGACAATAGCAATGCCCAGGAAAGGCAATGCATTTGGTGATTGTTTCATGGTGTAATTGGTCATCACACCAGTCTCATACACTTGAAGGTTTCGGATGAAGCCACAAGTTAAAGCATTTTCTTTCCTTTGATTTTATATGTCAATAACAAATGCCTGGAAGAGGCATTTGCTGATGTTTTCATGGTGTAGTTGGTCATCATGTCATTGAAGGTCTCTAGTTCATACCTCTTTCTTTGCTTTGATTTTACTTTTGGATAGCTACAAATGCCTTGTAAAGGCATTTTGGTGATGGTTTCATGGTGTACCACACACTGAAGGCTTCAGAACTGGAGACCAAATGTTTAAAACTATCTTTTCTTTCATATTGGTCAGTTCATAAAATCTAGTTTCCATATAGCTGTTGTCTTTTACGGAAGGTCTCCAGTTCGATCCTTTTCTGAATGGGATCCCTTTCCCAGCGATGGAGCTTGAGCGGCAAGAGCGCCCTCGTCACGGGAGGAACACGGGGAATCGGGTAGGTTCTTTGATGTAGATGGTCTCAACGAAAAATATTTGGACACCCAGGCGAGCGGTTGTGGAGGAGCTTGCGGGCCTTGGAGCTTCCGTGTATACATGCTCGCGCTCCGAGCAGAGCTTGAGCGAGCGGCTCCACGAGTGGCGCCAATCCAACCTCGACGTCCATGGCTCCACTTGTGATCTCTCCAACCCCAGCGAGAGAGAAGCACTCATGGGCCTTGTGTCCCAACACTTTGGTGGAAAGCTCGACATTCTTGTAAGCACTATCCATCTTTTCTAGATCTTTTGAGCTTCGTCCTTGGTCCTTCTGTTCTGATCAATCTCCTCTTGTCTCCAGGTAAACAACGTTGGAACCAACGTAAGAAAGCCTACGCTGGAGTACACTGGCGAGGACGTCTCCACGGTTTTCTCCACAAACTTCGACTCCGCCTTTCACACATCGCAATTGGCTCACCCATTGCTCAAGGCCGCTGGAAACTCCAGCCTGGTTTTCATCTCCTCGGTGGCCGGAGTGGTGGCCATCTCCACGGGCGTACTCTACGCAGCCACCAAAGGTAGATACGAGCAAAAGGATAACTTCCATACATCTTCTACCTTCTAACAGGTGCCATGAATCAAATCACCAAGAACTTGGCGTGTGACTGGGCTCAAGATGGGATCCGTGTCAATGCAGTGGCCCCATGGTACATCAAAACTGATCTTGCGCAACAGGTGCCAAGCTCTAGTATAAAGTTCTTAAAGTTCTTCGTTAGTTCTTCGAAAGTTCTTCTCAAACTGATTCGACGCGTAGGTTCTGGGCAGGCCCGGTTACGAAGCTGCGGTGGTGGATCGAACGCCCGCGAGACGAGTCGGGGAACCCCACGAAGTCTCCGCGGTTGTAGCGTTCCTGGCAATGCCAGCGTCTTCCTACGTTACCGGGCAAGTGATCAGCGTTGACGGTGGCTTCACTGTCTATGGATTCTCGCCTCCAAAATCGTGAGAGAGAATTCCTGGATTAGATCATCAAGGAAGAGAGAAAATGTTAAAGATGGAACCAGTCCTTTGCTGGGTTGACCGAGTGGGTTGACCCGGTCAAACTGCCCAGTCAAGCGTCAGCATCTTGTCACTGCTGGATCACACCCTCTGTGTCTGAGATTGACAGGTAGCTCCACGCCACACGATCCCAAGAAACGAGGCGAAAAAGCAATTTCCATGGTGTAAATCGCACAGTAAAAAATGAGGAATCGCGCCACAAGGACGAGCAAATTTCCATGGCGGACGAACGAAGGATGCATGTTTATAGATCTCTTTAGTATTCACACCACTGTAAAAATGAAACTCGAAAGCAAGGACTAGATCCTTGGCAGCACAAACAAAGCTCAAATCCATGGCCAATTTCCATCGAGAGGAAGGAATTGGATCGATCTATAGAAACAATGCGAGCGGGAAGAGGAAGGGGACCAAAAACGAAAGGATGTAGCGCAGGAGCTATGAAAATTCGTCTCCCAGCGAGCGCGCGAGCGAGCGAGGAGGGCGATTTCCATTCTTCTTCTACCAGAATTTGCCACCGCGCCTCTTGCAGTTCTTGCTCAGCATCCTCGCCCCGCCCGGCGACGCCGGCGAGCTCACCCGGATCGCGCACCTCACTCTCACGCGGAACCAAAACGTGCTCGCGCTCCCGGTCTTGATCTTGGCCCTCACATTCACGTCCACAACCAGTGGAATGCTGCTGCGATCGACCGACGCTCTCAGGCTGGACGCGGTGGGCTGCGACACCAGCACGCCCGATCCACGGATGGGCGCGCTCACCACCGTCACGTTCCTCCTGGGCTGCGTGAATGGAGCGATGGATCCCGCCCCAATCTGCGTGCCCAGGAAGAAGACCCGCGTGTGGATGCCGCCATACTTGATCGTGATGCGCTTGTTTGGATTCTCGGCCCGGATGCCCAGCACGATGTCCGTGTCCACGGATCTAGAGCCGGAGGTGACATTGAGCGCGTTGATCCTCACGTCCTGGACCGTGTACTTGGGCGCCTTGGGGCGGAGGACGAGCCAGATGACGAGCGCCGCGATGCCCAGCGCGAAGATGATCGCCAGGAGCGTGGAGCACAGGCAGCGGCAGCAAAATCCAATCCGGCTCCTGCGCCCCGATGGCCGCTTGCGATTGTCGCCGACCGGGTAGGCATTCGGGACGTAGTAGGCGCCGTTGAGCTTCTGCTGCTGGGGAGGCCTGTTTAGCTCCGCCATAGCCACCCAAGAACACTAGCAAAGGCAAAAAACAGAGCACCAGCTCCAACCCAGATCAATCCGCGGCGGAAACGCGAAATTGGACGCTGCCCACTTCAAATCTGGCAGAGAGAGGGCAATTGCGGCCCTGGATTGAGAGAATCGAGCGGGAGAAGCGGAGAATTGGGGGCTAGACGAGACAAAGAGCGCCAAGAGGGAGAGAAGAAAAAGAGATGGATGCTCTGTTTTTATGCTTTCCGGGAAGAAACAGCAACACGTCTACCTACATCGCAGAGCGATCGTGTCGTACGCGTTGGTGCCGGAGAATATGCCCCGGGATTTGGAAACGGTCGCCACAACGTCGCTTCCGCGATGGCGATTTGGCAACAAGATGGAGGCGAGAAGAGATCCCGGCCGTTGGAAATCTCCGCCGTTGGATCTCGCGCCTTCTTCTCCTTTAAAAAGGAGTTTGCTGGCGTTGGCTTTTCGTCTCGTAAGTTTCGCGCGATCGTCTTTCGCGTGAAACTTGTCGATCGATCGACACGCTTTACTACTGCTGGCAGTTTAATCAATCCAATCTAGCTGAGACATTCCCATGGAAAAGAATGAAAGAACTCTACGAAGCTAGAGCAAAACACGCGACCTGAGAGGGTAGAGTCCTATTTGAAGCTCCTGTCTCCTTTCGAAACAGGATGATTAGAATGTACATTCCCGACCGACGAGGATGGACCCCCCCAAAAAATATCATCTAGGCCGTGGCCACCAAAAGCAGAAGCACGACCACAAATCTCTCTGCATCGATAGAATATCACACACGACGTTAGCCACTGTAGAAACATCGCTGTGAAGAAGAAGTAACAAAAAGAGAAAGAAGGCAAACGATGCAAAGCAAAACCAGGCAGTCACAACCTTCCAACTTACAGCTCTTCCTGCGTTTTTGAGCTGGAGTTTTTTCGCCTGCGCGGCCCTGGCTTTCGGATGATCCGACGATCCCACAAACCATCAAACACTTCCACCCCTGTGTGCTGCCCGTCCCGTCACCCACGCTACAAATCCAAGTCCAGCATCCGATAGAACGCGTCGTGGTTGACAATGATACTTCCTTGGAAATCCGGCTCGGACGGACCACACCGGCTGCTCGTCCGCGACAGCACCTTGTTTTTGATCGACGGAGTCAAGTGATCCACACATATCCGCTGCCTCCTGTTTGCTGCCTGCTGTAACCATTTTGCCTTCCCTGTCCCCTTTAGACTCTCCCTACTGTACCGAGTGAAAAACTCTACCACGGACCAATCCTCACTGCCCGGCTGCTTATCCGGACTGCCATTTCTACTTAAGCGTCCCTCAGGCAGCTTTTCTCCGCCTGTGATCTCCTGCACGCAGCACCCATGGTTCCATTCAAAACGAGTTGGCAAAAAGCAAAAGCTAAAAGAGCAAGCAGCGCGGTTCTTTCACAAGGTTCAGCGTTACCCCCTATCTACTACGCCTATCCTCCTGCCTGCTCTTCTCCTGGCCCTGTTTACTACATTCTCACGTCTTTCCTGCCCTGTTCCACTAGCCTTAGCTCGTCGACAATCCAGGCTGTAGCTCAGCTGAAACTTTGTCTTGCCAGAGAAATGCCACAACATGAATAAGAAAGACAAAGAAGCAAGCATGCACAACATGCACAGCACCACCACAGACCCAGGAACCAGGAAGAAAGACTCTCTGATGGAACGTCTAGCCAAAGTATGTAAAGTCCCCCTCCCTCCGATGCAGGAAATGCATCTCCCCACCCATTAGTTTCATGATGAAACACCATGAGGCCATGGGATTGGTTTCTCCAAGCCCACATCCACCTGGGTTACCAGTCAATAGATGCAGTCTAAAGGGAAAGAGTAGTGGACGTACCTTGGAAGGGATGTAGTCGTTCGGCCTCGCGTCCGGCTTTGAGCATGGCATGCACATTTTCGAAGCGCAGTTTGACAACGTCGCTATGTCGCAGATTTGTCCAGTTCCCATGATCCCCAGCTTCGACCTCAGCGACTGGTTTTCGTCTTTCAGGCGAGACACTTCTTTCTGGAGTTGTGTTATGACCTGCGAAACATAAACACGTCAGTAAGTTTCCCTGTCGGAAAGGATGTCATACGTACCCTGTCTTTCTCGTCCATCTTCACAGATGGAATGTTGACAATCTGCTTCGCGCAAGTGGCGTAATGCAGGGTGCTCAACGTTTGATCGACAACGGTTGTTGCCGGAGAAACACAAGCAATCATAAGTCCCAGGCTGCTGCCTCCCAAACTCTCCATTATAAGCTTCGTCAACATGCTCTCCCTGCATTGCCAAAATGCGTAAGCTCGAGCTAATTCACATTACAAACACATCCAGACCTGTATGGTACTATCTCTTCCTTCTTACCCTCCGATAAAGCTGAGATAACCTGTACATTGAGCATTAACTCGAATGGCTCGATAAACGCGTCAAGATTACCTTGCCAAGCGTAAAAAGCGACCGGTTTATGCTTCCCGTCTCTTTCAGCATGTCGCCGGAGCTTTTTGTTTTCTTCAACCTTTCACTTCCGGCCAAATCAACAAATAGTAGTCGGCCATGTCTCAGTAGAATTGGCCCATCTCCCATGGAAGATATGGAATCCACGTACAGGGTCATAATACAATGACTCCTGCTGCTATCCTTGTTTTGATTGTGAGAGCCAACCTGTAAAATCCAGAACATTAGAACGATCTAGATTCTTCTTTCAGCTACCTTGCGGTTCTTGGCCCCTTCGTTCACAACAGCAAACACGTCTTCAACAGTCTCGCAATCCACAACAAGGAGGCCTTCAACGTGAAAACCGTCCGACTGGTTCCATCTGACCTCCCTTGGAGAGCACTCCTCCCGCAGTAAATCATGGACCTGTCATTCTTAATTCATTTCGTCACAAAAGGGAGAAACGAGCAAAATGAGAAAAACATACTTGCTCATTGTAGATCTCAAAGTAGGAGGCCCGCAAGGAGTACGTTTTCTGATCATCCAATACGGTTCGTCTTCTGATAGCTTCGAAAATATATCTCACTGAACGAGCAATAACACCACCCTCTGTTATCTTCTCCTTCACGCTACCCTACATTCACATTGAGTGTTAGCTCAACTCCATCGCTCAAAGCTCTTACCTCTTGGCGACCACACATTGTGTAAGTCTTCCCCGAGCCAGTTTGGCCATAAGCCATCACAGTCGACGAGTAACCATCCAGCACCGAGTCTAGCAGCTTCCTCATATTACACTTCTCCATGAGCTTCTCTTGCGTGATGGAGGGACCAAAGCAGCCATCAAACTGCCAAAAATCCCACACACAAGCTTAGCGAATCCCGCAAGGTAGAAAGAAAAGAAAAACTTCTTCACACACCTGGAACGTTTTCATGGCCGTATACCCGAAAGATTGCTGGCGATCCACAACCTGACATAGCGTAGCAATTTAGCACAGTGGAGGAGTCCCACTCGTCTCATTCTCCCTTTAACGAAATCTTAGTGAATTTTCCAGTGCCATATAATGTACTCACCAACCTGGATGGTTGTCTCGTCCCTGGACACTTCCACCGCGGACTTTACCCCGGAAGCTATCTCGTCCTTCGCGAGAGGACGAACGCGAACGTAGACATGGATATTGCTAGCCTTGTGCTCGGAGTCCAATCCACTCTTTGCCACGCTCGCGGGACTCCTCGGGCTCCTGCTAGTCGGGCTGCGACTAACAGTGGAAGGAGTCACAGCTGCAAAGACCGCAAGAAAAATTCCAATTGATCGAGACCGAAAGGGGAAGAATCGCGAGTTTTACCTTCAATCTCGGGGCGAGAAGGCCGCATGATAATCCGGATTTGCCCCGCGTCGACCTTCATTGCGCTGGCTTTCTGGAGCTCCAGCCGATCCTAGCTGATGCGCCACAGCCGGCGGCGAAGCTCCCACCTGGAACACGGACTAGCGAGGATTTCGCTGCGGAATCCAGCCAAGAACTCACATTGTCAAGACTGCGCTGTGGGCCGCGCCGAAATCTAGGGCAAAGATCACGAATGGAGCGATCGGACCGGCGAGTGGCGATCGCCGGGACTACTGGCCCCAGTCTTGGAACGAAACCCTCGTTTCCAAGCACCACGGGTCGCGCGCCATGTTGAAGAGACGTTACCTTCGCGTGGCGGCATATTCGTATATTCCTTTCAATCTCTACCGTCCATCTGGAAAGCGTCGGATGCCAAAATTTCCAAACTTTTTTTAAATGTTTTGAGTTGTTCTTGGCGATACAAAAATTTACCGTTGTTAGTCATCCTTTTTGGTGGATTCAGTGGTTTCCTCCGAGCTCGTTGCTTCTTCGAGAGCTCGTTTTGTGGCAGCCTCATCGAATTCAAGGAGCTAGAATCACAAGGAAAAAAACCATGTAAGATTTCGAGGCAAAACAAGAGCTAGATGTGTGATTTACCGGTTTGATCTCCCCTTTCGCAAGGCAGTGAACGGCCAAGAAGCCCGTCACGCACGGTACAATGTAGAGCAATGCAGGCTGGATAGAACACCAAGGAGAAAGTCAGAAAAGCTTTTAAACAGTAGTGCTTGAACTTCTACCTGAGCAGCTTGAAACACGTTCATGACGATTATGGTGGCCACGATTCCAGTTATATAGCCCATAAACGCACTGGTGAAGTAGCGCTTTCCAGTGCCCCGAGACACATCGAATCGCAGAGCCAGTGCAACAAAAATTCCTGAGTTGAAATCCCCCGTCACCAAAGAAGAGGAAAAAGATGGCTTTACCTGGGATTACTATGTCGCCGAGACCCAGCATAGAGAACGGTTTGCTCGAAGAGCCAGTCGGGAAGATTAGCTGCATGGAGGGATTAGAGAAGGATGCATTGCACTGAGAGAGCAAACCTTGATGGGAGCATCAAAGGACTTCGCAACGGTGACCATCACAGGAGTGAAGAATACCCAGAAGATGTCATATACGAATAGCCCGGCCTGGCGAGACAGAGAGAGAAAACGAATGATCAAAGTGTTGTTTTGTAAGTGAACACGGTACCAGAAGAATCGCCCCGATCTTGAATGAGCCTAGAGACAGCATCTCGATTCCCTGAAAGTATGTTCATAGTGTAAATTGAGAAAAGAAGAGCTCTAAAGCACCTGTATCGAGAATGCCAGTCCGAGGGTGTTGTTCGCCAGCCAGTGTTTTCGTAGAGCATACCAAGCACAAAAGCAAATTCCCGGAATGGATACAAACAGCTGGGCAAGAGTAAACTCCACACCAACATCTGCAGCGAATCGTAAGAAAAATCGCACAAAGTGATAAAATGGGATGATCTTACTGGTGAAATACGGAAGATGTAAAGAAATCTCTTTCTCGTCCCAGGCCTTTGGAATGAAATCTTTGACATCTGGCCAGATGGTAGCACTACACGAACAATGAGTTAATTTCCTTGGGTTAACACACGCAAGTTACTTACGTTAGAGCAAGAACTCCGAGAACCACGAAGTAGAGCGTGAGTATCCCATTGATCAGCTCCTTGGGAATAAATTTGAAGAGAAGAAACAAAGAGCATAGGACGGCACTGCCGACGAAAGGGAAGCGTATGGCATGTCCCTTGGAAAGAGTTTCCTGACAAAGAACGTTTTTTCACATATGAAAAAGCAAGGAGCTCAAGAACACTTACCACGGGCGGAGCCGGCTTGACGGATCGATGACAACCGATGAAAACAGTCAGACAGGCGGTAAGAATCACGTTAGCGTTGGGATTTACGTTGACGACGAGCGGCGCAATCGTAAGAACTGCATCAATCGGCCGATCAGATCTCTCGCACTCGAATTTTTCAAAGATCAATCACCTGCTAGGCACGCGGAAGCTATCCTCTCAGCTAAAGACGCCATGAATCGTGGCTCTGGCGAGAATCTCTAGCGCCTCTGTAGAAGAGAATTGCCTAAAACCCTAGCGCCATACCTGAAATGTGCCTCGCGAGATTATTATTGCCCTAGCGCGGTGCGAGCGGAGAGCTACTTCCTTCGCGCGAAAGCTCCCACGGCCGTCGGATCAGTGATCCTACGGCAGCCCCGCGCCTTTGACACGTCGATTTGATGGAGAATATGCTACACGTCAATTTGATTTTCAAAGGCTCTCTACAAAACTTTGGTAAAATCTGGGCTGGAAGAATTCACCTTTTAACCTTTGTCTTCGCTCGTTTAGTCTGCCACAAGAATGCCACAAGAATGTCTCGTAAGATCCAAAGTTAAAAAAACGAAACTTCGATTTGCTACCTCCTATTTTTTGGAGAGATCGGTATTGTAACCTGACGCTCTCGCCATTGTCTATTGTCCTCACCAAGTACCTGCGAAAGAACATCGTCAAACGAGACGAAAGAACAGATCAAAGCGAGAGTTTTACCATCCATTCAAGCATTGAGTGGTAATAATCGCTTCGCGGCCAACAAATCTCTCGGGAGTTCGCTTGTTACCCTGTGAGATATTGCGGAGAATTTATCGCCGGGGATTCTAAAGTTTGTGAAATCACTTACCTTGATAAGAACGCGATCACTGACCGAGTATGGAAATTGCACGCCCTTGACTTTCCCATTATCCTCCTAAAACAACGTAAACAAAACGATAAGAACGTCTCAGGAAATAAGTTCCACACCACACCTGTTCGCGTTTCCTCTTCAGCGTTTTCGAGCAAGTGATTATAGGAAACTCTCTCTCCCGTTTGTAGGCGTGTACCGCTTGCCTTAGAGCTGCCAGAGAAAAAAAGTGAGAGTTTAGAAGAAAATCCGAGCAGCAATACCATGGTTAGGAGCAGCCGACATAGGAGCAGTCGGCATCATACAAACAACACACGCGTTCTACAAAAGAGAAAGAAAAACATGGTCATTACAAAGAGCATTCCATCTCTCGTCACATACAGTTTCTTGGACTCGTTGAAAGCCAGAGGTTCCAACCGAGTGTCCGCAGGGAAATATGACAGCGTCCTCCATGAGCGCGCCACTGATAAACCCCGCAAGTTAGCAAGCATAGCGAAACATCTACAACTTACGATACTGGATCCGACAGGAAGTGACGAACCGAGGTAGTATCAGTCGCCGGAGGAACACGTCCAGCCGCGGAGTTAACCATCGAACTGAAGTAAGCGGAGTCTGGAACACCCGCTTCACCACCGTTTCCATCGCCCTCTGGCCTCTCCCTCGCACCGTTCTCGCTGTAGGACGCGGGGTTAAAGAATGGAAACATCCCAAACTTCTGGCTCGCTGTTTTCATGATCCTATCCCTCTCGCTGCTCGTCATCCTCTGGAAGCTATCCTGGCTGGGAATTTGCATCTGCGGGGTTCTATCTCCATCCACCAGACCATCCCTTCCATCAGCTTCCAAGTCGAGCTCTTCGTCTACGTAGTCCTCGGACCCATCACTGTGAGAAACGCTCACCTCACTCCTGCCAACTATTCCATTGAAACCATCATCGTCCCTCCCGGAGCTATCGTACACAATCCTCCTCCTCTCCACGGCCTCCCGATCGTCGCCCAGCTCGATGTGAAATGCCACAGCTCCACTGCCTGGAAAACCCCTCCCACCGGTCATATCGCGCCCGCGGCTCCCTCCGGCGGCGAAGAATCCGTCACTCGGTGGCGCCGCTCCATCGCCAATCCCCCCGCATTTTCGATCGCTCGCGCTGCCGGCCGAGAGCTCCGAATCTACATTCCACAAGATTGCGAGAGAAATCGCTCTACCTTGCCACGGCGCCGCGCTCGAGCTCCAGACCGGACGAATTAGGGCAGCGCCACAAAACCTAAAGAACCATCTTCGCTATTTTGTGGAAACCAAATTTATTGTAATTGGAACAACGCCTCCCCTAGCGATTTTTTTCCCGCCCTCTCGTTGAATGGCACTATGCATGGCCATGCCCATTCATGCCCATGGCCATGGCGAGGTTTGCTACGTGGCAGTCCATGCAAGCTTTTAAAACGCCTTTCTTCCTCACTAGGCCATAAATCTCAAACATTGTGTTCTTCCCGGAAGATCATCCAATCCACGCTCTAAATCACTCTCTCCTTTTCTTCCTGCGTTTGATCTCTACGCGGGGAGAGCTCCGGCCGATGGTGGTGCCGGGAGAAGCATCATCGGTGAAGCTAGCGCTGGGATCACAAGAAACGAGAGGAAGAACATCAAGAACAAGAATGTGGTGGAGAGATTTCTCGCGCTTACGTTTCTTGCAATGCTTGCCAAACACATCGTTGAGCACATTGGTGGAAGAAAGCGACGATTTTAGCATCTGGACAATCTGTGACAAATCGATCCAGCGATCATCAGCATGAAACCAAAGATCAAAGCTTACCTCCTCGCCCGACACTGGAATCTCCATGCTCTCCAGATCGCTCATCTTCTCGCCCTTTTGCGTCCCCAGTCGCAAGATGGATTGGATGGTGGAGCTCGGGAAAACCTCGAGCGTGTTGGTGATCATGAAACTCGATCCGGCTTTGATATACCCGGGAGGCGGCGCAGCCTCCACTGCCGGGGCCCCGCCTTTCTTCCCTTTCTTTGGAGCCGCTTCCTCCTTCTTGCCACCCCCAGCGGCGGCAGCGGCGGCGGCGATCACATCCTCCTCGCTCGCCAAGACTTTGCACGGGTTCTCCATCACCTTCTTGTGCTTGGGACACTTTAGATCCGGTTTCTTGGTGATGAACTCACACGCCGCCGGGGCGCCGCAGCAGTAGATCGCCGCTCCCTCGGTCCCGGGGATCCGGATCACTTTGTCTCCAAAGGTCATGGTTGGGCGAGGATCCACCAGCAAGCTCTTGCTGGAGCACATCCTCGATTCGTCCAGCTTCTCGGTGCACGAGAACAGGCTCGTGATCCCCACCAGCGGCTTCACCTCGCGCTTGCTGGAGATCGGCGGCGGCGGCGCTCCCTCGGGTGGCGGGATCTCGATCGCCTGGAGGAGCTTGACGACGCATCCCAGCGGCAGCGTGAGGAAGCCCACCACCAGGTCCACGAGCTCCTTGCCGGCCTCCATGCACAGGATGTTCTTGCTCACGCGGCTGTAGAGCAGTGTGGCGGTGAGGGTGGGCGGCGATGGCGGCGGCGGAGGCGGTGGCGGAGCTTGAGCTGCTGCTTGCGCAGCAGGATTGAAAGCCGCTAGCATTAGATTCGATGGCAGAGGCGGGGGCGGGGGACGATGATCGCGGTCACTGGGACTGATTTAGAGAAAACGAGCAAAAGGAAGAGAAACTGTGAAAACCTCTCTAGATCAGGAGATGAGATCGTACGCATTCTCGCTCAGGAGCTCGACGATAAACTGGCACGGGCTCTCGCCGCTGCTACCCATCTCCCGACGATCACAGCTCGCCCTCTCATCGCTTCGCCCTAATCATCCGCGACCAAGAACAGAGCTTTTTCAAATCCAGGAAACGCGCGAAAGCGGAAAAAGCAAACAAAAAAATAAAACCCGAGCAACCAAAGGTCAGCATCCTATCGCTGATGTCAGCCCTAAAATAGATAAATTGACCGGTATATTCCCCTAGGCCTAGGGTTTGATAGGGAGAATATTCGCTCGCCGGCGAGGGCAAAGCTTTTTCCGGGCATGGAGGTGGACTGGGGCGAGACGGGGGATGGCTACTACAGTCAAGGAGAAGAGGAAGAAGAGGAAGACGAGGAAGACGAGGAAGAGGACGACAGTGGAGGAGATGAAGTAGAATTTGTAGCTCCTGGGCCTGGCTATGGTGCTCCTCCTCCCCATCCTCCTCCTCCGCAGGATAACGTTGTGGTGATCGATGGCAGTGACGATGAATCGGGCAAGGAGGCCCGCTCCAAGCTTTGCGAGGTTTGCACGTATCTCAATTTCTCCAGGGCCGCCAAGTGTAGCATGTGTCGATCGGAGTTTGGGGCCTCGAGCGGCGCCGCCGGATCGAAGCCATGCCCAGTTTGCACTTTCGCCAACAAGATGGGAGCGCTGGCGTGTTCTATGTGCAATGCCCGGTTTGAGCCGCGGATCGAGCAGGAGATTCGCAACAACGAGCCCAAGAACAGCGAAGAAGGATCATCGGGATCGAGCGAGAGAGCTTGCCCGGCTTGCACTTTCATCAATGAGATGCCCTCCAGCGCGTGTTCTATGTGCCGAGCCCCGTTTGATCCGATCGATTTGACGATGATCGAGGAGGACCCGGCTCCTCCAGCGGTCAAGCCCCCGGTCAACTGCGTGGTGTGCCGCGTTGACGGCGTTGACGGCTACTCCCTCCAAGGATGTGGGCACGGTTTTTGCCGGGATTGCGCGGTCGGGCTCGTCGGCGACCGTGTGGAGAGGCTCCAGTCCGGGTTTGCGGGATTCGAGTGTCCGATCTGCCAGCTCCCCCTGAGCCGACAGGATCTAAGAGTTGTCGCCGGCAAGAAGGCCGTGGACTTTGTGGACCAGTGGCTGTGCTCGAGGATGCGCGACGCCTCGGCGGCTTTCAACCCCGGTGAGAATTCGGCGAAGCGGCTCAAGGTGGCGGCGGCGGCGGCGACCTTTTCGTGGGACGCGGAGATGGAGACCATCTTTGCGACGGTGGAGGAGCTCCGGGCAGTGTATCACTCGAGCTTGAGCGTCAAGGTGGCGAGGAAGAACTACACGAAGAAGAGCTCGTCGATCCGGCGAGCTTTCAAGGCGAAGAAGTCCGAGACGGCGAGCTCCAAGGAGGTTTGCGCAGTGGCCGTGGATAAGAATGTCGAGGCCTCGGACAAGGCAGTGGTCGAGGTGTTGAGGAAGCTCTCTGACGGGATCAAGCTGGCGTGCCTGGAGAATGGCGGCCGGGTCTCGCTGCCAGCAGCCGCGCTGCTGTGCTGCCGTGACTCTATCGCCCGCGATGTTCTCAGCTGGCTGCTCCGCAACGATTCAGCGCTGGACATCGTCTCCCGCTCGGAGCTCCACTTCGAGCTCTTTGCTCTGCTGCGGACTGTTGCCGGCCTTCCGGAGCTCCTCCCGCTGGTTTGCGGCAGCGCGTCGGATCCGAGCCACGATTGCTGGAGCGGCAGCGAGGGACTGTTCCATCCGGCGTCGCTCATGGCCAGCTTCGCGAAGCTCCACACGCAGGCCTCGTTCTTCCTGAGCACGCCGATGCTTGGCGGGGTGGACGACGACGAGAACTCCGCGGTGGAGGCGGCGCTGTTTGGCGAGGCAAAGGACACGTTTGAGCGGCTGGTGCGGCGGATCAGTGCGTGGAGGCAGCGCCTCGCGTGGCATGCAGCGTGGATGGAAGACTCGGACCAAGTTTTCAAGCTCCGCCACCCTGGTGCTCTTCCGTCAGGGTCGCCCTCCTCCGGCGCTAGCAGCATCACGATCGAGAAGGAGAGCTCTCCACCGCCGCGACACGACGACAAAGGCAAGCAAGTGATCGCCATGGACGAACCAAGCAGCGAGGAGCTCGACTACGTGACGGCGCTCAAGCCACTCCAGTTCGGCCACGCTGCGCTCCTCCAGAATCACTACTTCCGGAGCTCGATCCACTGGGACGCGGACTTGGGCAACGGCAGCCGGTCCCGGCGCATCGCCAAGGAGCTGGCTGGCCTCGCCACGCAGCTCCCGCTCGAGTTCCACTCCTCGATCCACGTCCGGGTGGACGAGTTCCGGATGGACCTCCTCCGCGCGCTCATCATCGGCCCCCACGACACGCCATACGAGAATGGGATCTTCCTCTTCGACATCTTCGTGGGCGATGGCTACCCGAGCTCCCCTCCGTCGGTCCAGTTCCTGACCACCGCCGGCGGCAAGGTGCGATTCAACCCAAACTTGTACCACTGTGGCAAGGTGTGCTTGAGCTTGCTGGGGACTTGGACCGGGCCATCGTGGCAGCCGGGATCCTCGACGCTGCTCCAGCTGCTCGTGTCGCTCCAAAGCCTGGTGTTCGTGAGCGAGCCTTACTACAACGAACCCGGGTGGGAGAAGAGCAGGCCCAAGGATGGTAGCCGCCACTACGAGTCCGAGAACTACAACTACGAGCAGTGCTTCAACACGATGATGCATTCCATGGTGCCGGCGCTGCGCAGTCCGGACGAGGTGTTCAAGGATTTGATCGCGGCGCACTTTCGGTTCAAGAGGAGGAGGATCGAGGAGCAGTGTGACAAATGGAGCGCGATGGGGTGGCAGCAAGTGCAGTACCCGAGAGGAGGGCGATTCTTGAAGAGCGAGGACAATATCCAGTGGACGACTACGACCATAAACAATGGCAAGGTGATGGCGGACGCTGCGAATGAGGTAAGAATGGAGCTTGCCAAGTTTCTTGGGTGAAAGAGAGTTCGTTTTATTTTACTCTTCTTACATTGTTAACCAACTTCATTAACTTAAAGCCCGCCACCTTGCATTATAAATGTTTTGATGTCGGAAAGAAGCCAGACATTCCAGACAAACAACTAATTCAAGCTGTGCTTCTCCGTCCGGCTGCTGGCGTCATCAGTACATCGAAAGTCGGCCACTGTCTTCCATAGCCAGCCCATAAGTATAATTCCCACGTTTTTGCCATTTGCCCAGGCCTTTCAACGCCGTCCAGCAACTTTTGGGTTGTGTTGCACAACAATGTTCGATCCCAGATCCATGGTGACGCAGTAGCACTATTGGAACAATAAAGAGTTCATTGAGGGTTAGATCCAAGCAAGGACGATTGAAGCACCAAGAAATTGACCACGCAATACAGGAGAAGTTCGCAGTTTCAAACAGCAACACGTTTTGTCGGATCATATCTGCGGATTTCAACTGTCAGATGTGTGCTCAGCCAGTATGATCAGGGCTGTAAACTATTCAACCAGTGAATCACAACTTAAAAGTGGTGTTATGCCACAGACGCTCATAACCACGCTACGCTCCACTCCTATTTCCGTATCTCTCGCTATTTTACTAAGCCCCTTGTACTCGTTTGGGTTCTTGGATTATTTCATTCAGGAAGGGAAGGGAAATAAGAATTCAGTTGAAAAATCCCGCGGTAGTGGCTCTTCCCGACGTTGTGGAAATTGATTTCCATCATGATGGGGGCTGTAAGTTTCTGGTGCTGGCATCAGATGGTGTGCCGCGGGAGTGCGTTGAGAGCATTTGTCCCAGCATCCACGACTGGCGGGTAGTTGGCAGGCCATGCAACTTGCCTTCTTTTGTGATAGCATGCAAGCCATGAGTGTCGAAGACAACAAGACAGTGATTGTGGTGCAGCTCAAGCATCCTTGTGGCCGCAGGCTGTAAACCAGCCACCTCCTCCCAGATCCGGCTGGTGATCTCGTTCTGGATCTCACCACGATCTCGTTTGTGAGATCGACACAGCCAATCGCTTTGTCTAGAGAATGCATACGCTTGGCATTCTATCACGAACAGCGAATCTCCGACCTCGTTCCGATCGATTTAGAGCTTTATTTCTTTGCTTGAATAAAGTGCTCAAGAGATCAATCTACACCTGAAAGATGGTAGTCTTGCTCAGAAGTTGGACACGAGATTTGTTGTGCGGGCGGACGTGGGCGATTCGCGCTCGAACGCTAGGGAGACAAACCCATTTCCAATCTTTGCAGAGCCTTTTCGTAACACACTTGAGAGCCATTTTGTCAACAACCGTAGTAGTCGTAGTCCTTGTTGCCATGAGCAGCAGCAGGCCTCCTCGAAACTGGCCTGGCTTTCAGAGGATTGACCATCTCCCACGAGAGCTTGATCACCTCCAACAGATCCATCAGGGCATCCACGAGAACTCCTGGACACAGCCCGACCCGGAAAGCAAGAACTCTCATATGATAAGATCACAAGTCACTCTATAAAGTTAAGCTTCATCATGTTGAGTTCATTTCTTGATTCTTGCCTTTGCGCTTTTTGTCTTCTCTCTTGAATTGCGAGCATGGCTCCTGAAAAGAAGGGCAACAGATCTTTATTTTGATTGTTCCATTGATGCTCTTCTAAACAGAGAAATCTTAATTGTCAATTGATATGCCTTAAAAGCGAAATGTGTGACGGGTTTCTGGCGATAATACAATTGTGCAGATCACTTAATCATGTTATGCACCATACACAAGTAGATATCGTAAACTTCAAGAAAGCTTCGGATACAGTCCCAAGACAAAGCTTATGGGATTGGCAGAAGGCACATGGGACACCCCAGATATAATCTAGGCATTATATAACGTTATCCTTGCCGACTTTATCAGTCAAAAATCGATCACCAACGCCATTGGGGTAAAGCAAGGCTGCCTGCTTTCCCCAGCCCTCTTTAGCCTTTGACGTGATTGAGCCACTCTTTGTTGATTACCATCTATCAGAGATCTAAATGGTAGCTGTACCAAAACTTTGACAAACTCAAAAGACATTTTTTCTTGCTGAAGAGCATTGGAAGCTTTCACTGGTCAAGTGCTCGTGAAAGCTTCCAAGCCTCTGGCAAGGGAGATTGACCATGATCCATGTTATCGTTCGCATTATTTTCCTTGTCCTAACACTGTGTTTCTAACATTCTAGGAGTAAAGGTTTTGCAAAATTATTCCTTCGGCTGGCTTATTCTCTGCTGAATGCTCGGCCTGGATGAGATTTATAGTGGGAACTAAAATTTCCCAATCCAAAAAGCTGCTGGACAGAAAATTATTTCGAAAATTTTTATGATTTTTTTTCATAACAACCTTTCAGGTGTGGAGGGTCAAGAGCAAAATCAACTAAGTGAAAAAGAAAATCAATAGGAACTACACAAGTCTAACCCAAACGGTAAGTCTAAACTAAACTTCACAATATTTAAGATTCCAATGCACAGAGGCAATGGTTCTGGAAGTGGTACCACCTGCCACGAACCATGTTTACTGAGGTTGTAAGTTACTAGCATTGCTAGCTTCACTTGAAAAATGCAGTAGATAATATTGTTGTATATGCTTGCCGACCTTACGAAGGGAAATTTTATAGAAATGCTTTCTGGCGCCCAGCTTATCAGAACTACATTCTCTCCTCTTATTTCAAAGAGTCCAAATAAGTGACTGTCATTTTCTCCCAGCAAGTAGAGCTTGCCATCCCAACCAAAGAGCTTAAAACGCCCTTCAAGTACTTCAGATCCCAGCTTCAAGTAGCGGAGCGAGAGAACCTTGCCATTGTCTACACGACAACTTAGTAGTGCCACTTTGTTTTTGGACCCAATGGAATGGATGATGTTGCCACAAACAGTAGAAGAGGATGTGACAAAATCCGCAAAATCCTCCATTTTGATATCCTCCTTACATTGCTCTGTGACGAGCCACTCTGACTTCCAAGAGTAGAGGACTGCTGTTTGCATAAACCTACGCACCCGAAATACTACTCGGTAGCCCTGCTCATGATCCGCTAGAGTTGCAAGCTCATGATCAAATTTCGCAAATGGCAAGTCTAAGTTATATCGTTTCCACTTATTGAAGAATGGGTTCCCCACCCAAAAAACTCTGCCTTCCCGGACCAGCACCAGCCCGGACTGAGAGACCAACTGGATATATGTGGATGGAAATTCCAACTTGAACCACTTACCCAGAACCAAGTGGCATATGTTACAGAATGGCAAGCCCTCTTGTTTTGACGATGGCAGTAAGATGTAGGGCGATGGATCCCTGTAGCGGTTTGAAAACCATGGAGAATCAATTACTTCTTTCCAAGCCTTGCAAACAGCTCTCGCTCTCAAGAGACTCGGTCCAGGAAGCTTCAAAAGGATATCTACATGCTCCATCACCAGCCCTAACCCATATTACGTCCGCCAGCCAAAAGCTTAGAAGAAAGTCGATGCTCCCCAAGAAATTGCGAAGAAGGCAGTGCTCAGAAAAATTGTTTTCAGGCATCGAGTTTCAGCGCAACGACGATCTTGGGACAGCAATTGATCAGATTGCGGCAGCACATTCAAAAGCTCCAGGGATGTTTCTTTTGGCTCCTTTTTTCCTATTGAACTCGCAGGAAGTTTTTCTAGCCCAGTGTTGTTGTCTAGGCAATGTATGCCAATACCTTTCTGTTGCTGCTGCTATAAAAGGAGCCACTAACACAATGGGCACAATGAACAAAGTGAAACTTTTTTCTGGTTTTGCATTATCTTCTTCAATTATACAACGTTGTCATTGATCAAGGAACATGTCAATTGAGGTTACTAATGCTGCTCCATTGCATTGTATGATGATCTTGTAGCAAATGCAAAAAAGAGACAGTGAGTACTCACCTTTTGATTTGTTGCCAGTCTGGAATGCTACTTCTTATCGCTTTTGTTTGTTCAGTTCTGAAATTGATCGGCAATACTATCTTGTGCAAATAATATGATCTAGGTCAGCCCTTTTAACCCTTATGTTTTTAATATTTTGGAAATATAATCCATCCAACGCCACCAAGCAAGAATGTATGCTCGCAAACCTCATTGATGCTTCTACACTTCTCAGCTATGGGGCTCTCATGGCTGTAACGAGTTTGTTATGTGATGTTATGTTCGCATTGGGCAGCTGCAAAACAGTAATCGTGCTGGCGGCGAGAGCAGCAGCAAGCGATCGGTCCGGGAGGCTTTGGAAATTACCAGCAGCAGCAGCGCCTCTACTTGTCCCTCCAGGGATTCATCCAGGCTCGCTGTCATGGTAAATCGATGGCTACCGCGTTTCCATTTTCTTCGCTCATGAAGATTCCAGGTGTTGGCAAATGTACATTGCCCCTGGCCAAGGAGGAGCACTGCCACATGTTGCCGGATCACAAACTCTGGCCGCTGCGCCTTTCAGGTGATTTGATTTAGAGAAGTTTGGGGGAACTTGCTCTGATGGTTTGATCATGTAGTCTCCTCATGCCTCTGGTTTCTCTGACACGAACGTCACCTCCGATTCTTCAACCCTCGGCTTGCTTCTCTTACGATGTCCTGCTCGTGTCATCTGCTGCCAGAAGTTTTGCCCCAGCTCAATTCCCTCAACGATGTCCACGTCTAAGTGGATATGAGGCACAAGGATACACATCTCAAGCGAGTAGCGGTTCTTCTCTTTTCTTGTGCTAACGCATACTAACGAGCACGGCTTGACCTTGATACACGATATGCTAGGGCGAGCGGTCCGAGCGAGTCGCACAGGACAGTTTGTGGTCTGTGCAGTAACTTCTTCATGACTTGCGCACGCACGCTGGCGCGGTTCCGGGAGGATTTGTATACCGGTGGAGGATTTGCAGGACCAGCTGCTGGCAGAGCGTCAGGTATTCGTCAAACATTTTCTTTCGCTGGATCATTTTTGATTCAATGCAGGAAGCTGCTGGCCGGGAATCTCAAGGATGGCGGCTTTGCAGGCAGGATGAAAACGCTACGGGGAACGATGTCCTCTGCCAGGAAGACTTGAGGTATTCTCGCTGGCCAGAGTCTGAGCGACTTTGTTTTTCTTCTTCATCTCCTTGTCCTTCTTCTTTGAACAGGATACTCTCGTAAAGATGTGAATCTCGCGGCTCGCCTTGCCATCGAGCTACTATAATGAAAGCAACCACAGGTATGTGTCGATTTGCTACTCTGCTCAATGCTAGGACTAGAGACCCAAATGGAATAAGAGTAAGCTTTGCTTGGTGTACACTGCTACTAGAAGAAGTCCGATTCATATGCATGTCCCTTCTTTAAAACTCTGTGGCTCCTTCTTACTATCAAATCACACTGGGCGTTCATGGATGAGCTAAAGCTGGATCCCTGAGTGCCAATAAGGGAGATGTGCTACGTGCCATAGTTCTCTGTCATACTCACTGCCCTGGTTAACGCAAATATTAATGGAATAAACAAGCCCGAGAAGCTGAACCTCGAGTCGCCCGCTCCATCTCTTCCACGGAGATGGACCAACATGGGGAAGAGTTAGAAATCAACGAGCTAATTTCACATCCAACGAGTGCTCGAGTGAAAGAAGCTGGTTGTTTTGTCTGTGACTACAGCCAGCCACGAGTGAGCAAAGATCTCGTGAGTTAAAAAATCCATGCCTTCGATCGAGCAGGTCACTATCAGACGGGAAAATTCTCCCTGCTCAGAACTGGAAGCTTATGAAAAATCTCTTCTTCTTGTTCCATGCGAAAGAACAAGAAAAAGAAGAAAATTTCTGATAACATACTCTTTTCTTAGGATGGCATCGGTCATTGCCAAGTTCTATAGCATAACGACAATGAGTTTATCAAGAGACAAATTACCTACATGATTGTGCAGCTATGGCAACACTGGCAGCAGCACTTTTGTGGATAGTTCTTGAGATAGACCTCCTTCTTGAGCCCGACGATATAGAACTTAAACCACCTTCTCTTGCCGTCGCTCATCAACACTCTGGTCACGGGAACCACCGTGATGCGGTGCCTCTCGCTCACGACTCGCGCCGCCGGGGGGACTGGAGCTCGCTCCCGGATGATCTCCTTCGAGAAGCGGCTGAGCAGTGCCGAGTCCTGGAAATCTGCTGCCTGGCATTGCTGTGATTCGTGGCAGTAGAGCTCCACGCCTTTGGCTCGCTGGAAAACGTCGTCCGGGACGGAGGCGGCGTGGCTGGACGCGATCACTTTCCTGCTCAGCAGTGTCCTCCTGGGAGTAAAAGGAAAGATGGACTCTTAAGATCAATCGCCACTGGCAGCTTGTAAAAGCTTGGGAGAAGCACTAACCATTTAACGCGAACGCTCATGGATGAGACGAATGATCCGGCTGACTTGCAGTGCTCGCATGCCAGCAAACCGCGAGAGTGGCATCTCGGGCAGTAAACTTTGCCGCTTCCCTTGCATTCCTTGCAGCTGAAAAGAGAGAGCTCTGGCAGGATAAGTGAAAGACTCGAAGATCAATCTAGAAAAACCTGCTGTCGGAGCCATCCAAGTGAGCAATGAGGCCACGGCCATTGCATCCCGAGCACGTAAACTTTTTCCTTTGCTGGAGATTTCCGGAATCATCGTATATCGTGCAAACATGACAAGCGATATCTCCCTGTCCGAAGCAACCTGGCCAAAGAAACTCAGCAAAAATCTCTCGAAAAGAAAAAAAAAAGTTTTGAGCTCCAAGAGAACCTGTGCATTGCTCCACACTTTCCGAGTGTGGCACCTTGATCAAAGCCTCTTTGGAGCTCACGAAGAGTGGTGGAAAGTGTGAACGAGTGTCGAGTTCCCAAGGTCCGGGAGCTCGGCCACCCTCGTCTATGATTCGACCGTCGTATGGAACACACTCCTCCACTAGGTCTCTCTCCTCGATGAAAGTTTCCAGAGTTCCAACGTAGGCATTACAGTCTTCCACCTTGCTGATCTTCCACGACCACGCTGGCCGCTTCCCCCAGCAGCAATGGTGGTGGACGTGATCGATGAGTAAGTCGCGAATCTCATCCTCTTGCAAGCTCTGGACACTGGAGATCGAGGGGAAGAGTTAGAAACCAACAAGCTAATTCCACATCCAACCTCGAGTTCTCGTGGGTAGAAGAAGCTGCTTGTTCGTCTGCAACTAGAAGTGAGCAAAAAATCTCATGGAGAAAGAGTCCACTTGCCTCCATAGCCAGGATCGTGAGCGCCTTGGATGGAGCTATCCGGAGTGACCACACAAGCATTGATCCAAGCCGGATATGGATCGTGCGCTGCGGCGGCTCGTATCTCAGATCCGGTGACTTGGGCTTCCAATTCCGAGCATGGGAATTCTCCCGTCCACACTGGAACTCGCGGCTCGTGGCCTGCTTGATCGAAGAAAACGATGGCTTGGAAAATACAGGACGGTGTGGAGCCATTCCATACCTGGAGCGAAGGACGCCGCGAGCAATGGCCGCTTGTTCTCCTCTTGTTCCATGCGAAAGAAAAACCCTGATAACTTGCAAAGTCGTACTCTTTTCCTAGGTAGCATTTAAGAAGAGAGGTGTGTTAATAGGATCACGCTCGCGATCGCGATCCATTGCCTGGAGAAAATGGTCGATTGTCGCGAAGCACTCTCGGCCATTTGCAACCCGACTCGAGCTCGATTCCAAACTGGATATATGAGCTTGACCATATGCATGCTCGAAGCCACTGTCTTCCATAGCCAGCCAAACCTTCCGGTGCGTCTCCCTCACACGCACCACCAGCACACAGTTACTCTCCATGATAAGCACGACACCTTGTTTGGAGACTCAAATCTGTCCCTCCGGCAGCGTCGAGCTCCTTGCCAAAGATCCAGCAGTGGCGCTAGTCTGGTGCGGGTGAACGACCATCTCACCCGGGTCAGCGACTCGATCATTCAAGATTATAGATTGCAAGGTCGAGAAGTTTAAGATCAAGGCACCTGGCTCGTCCTTGAAGAAGCGGAGAACCAACCGCATGTCCCGGTAGACCCTCGAGCTCCTCACGGATCGCCTCCAATCGTCCTGACGCTCTGGATGAGCTCGCTACCCCTGGAGCTACCGAGCAGATGCTACTGCTCTCGGTTCTTCGCAAGTGTAAGCCCATGGGTTCATTTACAACTCGGAGTTTAGGGAACAGAAAAGTGGTTTAATGATGAGGTAAAAATGAAGAGTGCGTAGACAGTACAGTTTTAAATCTCGCAATTCTAGTGTCGAGTCCACGAGTGCAAATCGGGAATTTCTAGGGTTCTTGTGGAATTCCATCTGGCGTGAGGTATCTTGTTTATGTATTTTTGTTTCTTGTATTTTCTAACCACATTATATATAGTATCCATACAGAAATATTATACAAATATGCATTTAAAAATTTAATAATATTAAGAATAAAAATAATTTTATATTTATATCTTCGAAAATTAACCTGTAAAAAATTAGGTAAATCTTTTTAGTATTTCATATTTGTAAAGACACACACACATATATAGACATACATATATATACATACACATATACACATAGATATATATATACATACATACATACATATATATATATATATACACACACGTATTACTCTGGCTAGGTAATACATTAATTATATTACTATATATTACTATAGCATATGGACTCTCTATTTCGGATTGAATCTGGTATATCCATTCTTATATATAAGCAAGGGTCTAAACCCCAATTAATATACCTATTCTTATATCGTGAGCACTTATATTAGTAAATATGAGAAGCATTGCAATTTGTCCTTGAAGGGCAAAGTTTTTTGGCACTGTTTTGCTTTAATATTCAGGATTGTATTTTTTGTTTTTATTTCTTTATTTTCTTTTAAATTTAGATTTATATTAACTTTTTGCAAATTCTAGAATTCTAGCTATTGTTATGTTTAGATTTACTCTTTCTTTTGATCTTTATTGCTAATCTTCTTCTACCATGCCACACTATCATCGATTAAGGAGTATGTTATTTAAGGTTGTTATTGCTACTTTGTTGAATTGAACCTTTGGTGTTGTGTGGTGTGATTATATTGGTGTTGCACCTATCTTGGGTGTGATACTATCTCTAATTTCTGTGGGATGTGATTATATAGTTTGTGTTATTCTTGGTGTTTTGTCATCTTCTGTCATTATGGAGTGTGATTATAACATCAATTAACGAACTATAGATGATACAATCTAGTTTTTAAAGAATATTTGAGGATTGAGTTTATGAGGAAACAATATTTACAAGTTCAAATAGATTTTGGATTATAATAGGGAACTTGATTATTATGGAGATAGCTTATAATATAGATTAGGAGTTGGAAATTTCGCGATATTTCCTTCTCTTGGCACTTTAATCATTTTTTACTTTTATAATTCTCATTCTTAGTCTAGTGTTAAATTGAGTGTTTTCTATCCTTCTTATACTAATCTGAATATTGAGCATATACATTAAGCTGAGAATCTTATTTTTGTTTCTTTGGTGGAGTTTTTGATCAATTCTAATATTAAATATTCCTCTATTCCAAGGGTTTGAGTCACTTTAGCCAGAGTTTCAGATTGAATACATATCCCCAATTATGAGTGCCATTAAAAACCTCTGTTTCATCATTGCTACTAAAGAGTTTATATATTCTCTTGAGAGTGTAGACTTTTTTTATTGATTTTCCTATCTCAAATGTTGAATTGCGTGTTAAGAAGGTTGAACAATGTAATCTCTTACTTATTTTATACTAGCCAAAATATTTTATTATAGCAAATTCTTTGTTTTCTAGACTTTGAATATATTTCCTTCTCTTTCCATTTCTAATTTGACAATTATTGAATTTTTTCTTCTTCCACAATGTTTCTTCCTCTAGTGAGGACAAGAAAATATGATATTGGAGTAAAGATGAACAACATAGATTGTAGAGTGAGGATGAATAAAACAAGTTTGAACAAAACATTCGACTTTGACATAGTGAGGCCGAACAAATGTGATAGTGAAGTGAAGCTAAACATAAATAGTAGAATGAGAATAAACGTAGCAAATCCAAATAAAACCTATGCTTCAAAACAATTTTTTCCTTCAAAAAGAGGATAAAAAGGATGTAGAATACAAATTAAGTGAGTCTAACCTCCTATGTGTGGTATTGGACAAGGACGATATTTGTAAGTCTAAATTAACATGGGTCTCAGTTGTTTACCAAAGGGAAGGCCCAAAGGTAAATTATATTC